GGGGATATCAAACAACGAACATCGAATTTGAGGGAAGGCAAACATGCAGAACGGACATAAAAGATGTAACAAAAGAACAGTACTGAACACACCAAATAAAGTAGAATAAGAATTATTAAAAAGACCTGCTTTAAGTGTAAGTCGGTTTAGTCCAACTGAGGTGAAGAGGCATCATGAATGAAACATCAACCTCAGCATGAGGCTAGTACACGCCTTCCAAATGGAGTTCAGACAACGGGGATTCCATAACTTCGTCCAAAGCAAAGTAAAAAAGGGAATACGAAAGCGGATAACACGGTCCCACATCACTGGATATATTGAAGGGCACTGACAGTCTATGAAAAGGCATCACCTTGTCGGAACTGCACACAAAGAGACTGGGCCTTAACGCGGTGCGACGGGTTGCGTACCTCCTTGACCCATTGAGCTATACTGGGTAGTGCCTCCGGGCCCCTTGAGAGCTACTCCTACCGGGTTGATCAATGGTTAGAGGTCAGACAAACTCAGTCTCCTGGTCATCCAGGTTGGGGGTTTGAAATGGGATGGCGTCCATTCATGTAAAACTAAATCATTGCCACCTTCCAACTGCCATGTGGACATGTTTTCCAGCCGATGACCTTCGTTGAGGACCCTAATCGTCCTCCTGTCTAGGTCTGGGCGCCCTAACAGTATCTCAACCCACATACAACCAGCAAAATTTCGCCAAACTCTAACCACATCTTGCATCAGCAGTCACGCAGATAAGTAAGGATCGACTTGTCTGCTGCATACAGTAGAGCGGACAAGGGAAAACATGCTACTGCTGGTGCATACCTTCATTCTGTTCCACCTGTTTCTCTTACTCCCATCCCGACAGCCACTACTAACCTTCCTTCTATAATCCCTAGGTTAATTGACAGCAACCGAAGTGCCACTGGAGTGGAACCATCTGCAGCTACCTTCCTGCAACACCCACTGAACCCCTATCGGCAACAGTCCTTTATAAGGCCAGGCTGCCAAGTTTCTATGGCGACGTTCAACGTTCGCACTTTAAAACAAATAAGGCAATAGGCTGCACTCGCACGCACCTTGGGCACACTGGGTATTGATGTGTGTTGTGTGGCCGAAACTAGGGTCAATGACCCTAATGGGGTTGTTGAATTAACTGCACCCGGCTTATCCTCTCGTTATTGGTTGCACGCATCCGGAGACGGCGATGCAGCAACCACAGGTCAAACTGGTGTAGGTATCATTCTCAGATCCAAGGCTGAGTCATCGTTGGTTGATTGGATTCCGGTGAACTTCTGTTTGCGTGCAGCCCGTTTGACAACATCAACTAAGGTTGATTCACGAAGTAATACAAAACGCTGTTTGTTTGTGATTTCCGCTTATGCTCCCACCGACTGCAGTTCTAATGCTATCAAGGACACATTCTATCCCAAGCTGAACTCACTACAACAAAGTGCTACCAGATCATATATTATAGTACTTGCAGGGGATCTGAACGCACAACTAGGGTGTATGAGCTCTTCAAAAGCTCAACCAGGCGGTAATAATGAGTTTAACTCTGAAGGGACTGACGACAGCGAGCGAATGTTGCAACTGTGTGCGCAGCACCAGTTGTTTCTTAGTAGCACCGTACTTAGACACTGGGTGCCGAAGTGTCACTTGGTGTCCTCCTGCAGCTGGCCAGCGACGGACCCAAATTGACCACATTGCCATAAGTTACAGGTGGCGTTGTTCCATGGCGGATTGGTGCTCGTTCTGGAGAATTTGCGTCAACACTGATCATGCCTTGGTACGCTGTCGTTTCTACATGAATTTCTCCATGAATTAAGCCTCACCCCTGATTGGCAACCGAGGAATTATCAGACAGGCCTAACAAAACACGCTGTGTACCGGAATTTCCACGTTGTGTCCTAATGACACTGAGCATCGGTGGAATAGGATCTCGGCCGCCATGCACGACGCAGGAGCATCTGCTTGTGGTGATATCAGTCGTCACCGCACCAGTCACTGGATATCCGAGCGGTTGGTGAATCTGTTGGAAGCCAGAAGAAAACTCCCGGCTGCCTCTGAGCACAATATGACCATGGACTATTTAGGTGCAAACTAAAGAGCGGCCTGCGTACTGACAAGGAAGCCTGGTGGACTACTCGGGCTCAAAAGATGGATGAGGCAGGAGCAGTAGGAAATTATCGCAAGCTCTTCCAGCTGATCCGCACCACTGGTCCCAGGAAGCCAGGTGTCAGTGAGACAATCAGAGACAGCGCGGGTGCACTGATTCACAATAAGGAGTGCTGCATGGCTAGGTGGGCGGAACACTTTCAAGATCAGTTCAGCTGGCCCACTGCTCTCGGACCTCTTCCTACTCAGGTGATGCAGGACGAGCCATGGGCGGTTACTTTAGAGCCTCTGTCGGACGCCGAGGTCCGAAACGCGATCACATCCCACAATCATTTTCGTGCTGTGAGCCCGGATTCCTTACCAGCTGCACTATTTAAGGATGTATGTTAGTTTCTCTAAAAAGCAATGACAATATTCGAACATATCTGGAAGGTAGAGACCATACCAGCAAATTAAAGTGAATCGATCATAGTGGGACTATGCAAGAAAGGCTGTCGTACAGACTGCGCTAACCACAGCGGTATTAATCTAAAGACAGCTGTGACAAAGTTACTGGCCTCAATTCTCATTCCTCGCCTCACTGCGGAACGAGAATCTCGGATTAGGGAAGAGGAGGCAGATTTCCGCTCAGAATGGGGCTGTATATACCACATAGTCACTCTGCGGAAGGAGCTAGAGCAGCGCCACGCATAATACAGACGGACAATATCTGTGCTCCTTGATTTCAAGAGTACGTTCGCTTCAATCGATGGATCTATTCTGTTCGAAATCCTTGCGCAGAAAGGTTTCCCCACGAAATATGTGAACATCTTACTTGCTCTATACTCGAACACTACAGGCAGCGTCAGGGTCTAGGGTGACTTGTCGGATAGATTTCCGACAACAAATAGCGTTCTTCAGGGCTGACAGGTTTCCACGATTTTGGTTCGATTTCGTCGTGGACTCCATCACGAGGGTTCCCTTGCGGGATCTCACGATGCAGGTGTTAGGATGCTGTCTGATGAAAAGTTAGTTAATCCAGATTATGCGGACGATATTGTCTTGATGTTTATGGGTGTCGGGGTGGCCGAATAAGCCCTGTACAGCCTCTCTAAAGTGGTCCCAATATTTGGTATGCGCTTCGCCCTTTAAAAGTGCAAAATATTGCTACAAGACCACCAGCCACTTGATGAACCCATGATACTTGATAAGGAGGAGCTCGAAGTGGTTGATCGATTCACGCACCTTGGCAGTTGTATAAGCAACGATGGGCGTAGAGAAACTGAAGTCAGCTCATGCAGTGTAAACACTAGAACTGCCTTCTTGCACCTGTGGTATCTGTATCAACAGAATTGGGTTTTCCTTCCGTCTGAAAGGTCGTGTTTACAAGACTACAGTGAGTGCTGTCTTGCTCTAAGGCAGTGAGACGTTAGCCGACGCGAGAAACACACCTCAGCTAATGTACCACAATCAAAAAAGAGATAACACAGCATGTGCTGTGTCGAAAGTTAGTGATCACGATGAATAAATAACAATCTCCACACAGGTGTAACAACCGCTCATCGTTATCATTACGAGAACCTACACTCTGTTAATCGCTCAGATGCAGCTCATTAGTGGACAGTTGTCCAACCCGAGCATTCAGATCACCAGTCAGCACTACAGCATCCATAATTTTTCTGTGCCGAGAGAGCTAGTTCCGTTGACGATAGAAGTCATCTTGCAACGAGTGTGTTATAGTTTGTGAAAGCTTAGGCAGCGATGACAAATAGACACCTATTGTCCACGCGCGACTTCGGAGGTTTGAACGAACCAGCCAATCTAGCGGCGTACATCCTGCTGTTAATAAAGATCCAATCACATATCTGACTGCTGACTGAGATCTGGTCCATCAGAACAGCTGCAGACCAGGGGCTCAGTGCAATCCCACACCGGATTGACCGGCATTTGAAGCGTCATTATCCCCAGACAAACGCAATGGGAATGTGGCATTAGTATCACCTGAAAGTGATCGTAGAGCGAGCACAGAGCTGGAAGCTTACGGGCGGTTTCCGATAAGCAACAGATGGCGATCGATTTGGTCTTCAATTTTCGGGTAAGTGTTGTTTTTCGACTGATTTGTAACGAAGTGCGTACGTTAAAGCATGTCCTCTTAGCGAGAGTGAAGGATTCCAAATAGAAGTGGAGGAACTGAGGTATTCCGCCTAGTTCGGCCTGACCTTGTGGAGGGCGCAGTAGTGAGGCTGCGCGATTTCTGTGTGAGTCGAATCTAGAAACTTAATGTTTATCAAAGCAAGAGAATGAGAAGCCAAGAATGTGGGGAATGAAAAGAATTTGGATGTTAACGAAGTTGGAAGGGGGCGATAAGAATGAGGGAGTGTAAGTGAAGTAGTAAAGTGATGGACGGACAAGCCCCAGTCGAAGCAAGTGGGGGAGGTTCGAGAATTGAGGAGAGGAGTTAAGGAAGGGGATCAAAGTGAAATTGAAACTAGACGGTGAGGATGAAAAATCGTAAGAAAGGGAGTAAGAAGACGAGAAATCCTAAGTAATAACGTTCTCACTTATCGACGCAGAAAATAGGGTGCCGTTTAGCATAGTCTGTGAGAGCCAGAGTATTAAGAAATTGTGTGAGCATTAATGTCCTGTACTTAGTGACTTGAAGCTTGGATGGATCAACTTCCGGTACAGCCGAGAAGTATACTCTTACTTACTGGTTGGTGCAATTATAAACACGATGTGCGTATCCTTTGGACAAGTGAAGAGCCGCAGGCAACCAAAATGCCGAAAGTGAGTAGATAATGTTCATTTATTATCGATTGAATGTGAGCGGTTAATGGTGTAAGGGGATTTCCACGATAAACTGTCGAGAAGGACGATCCCTTAATTCGCCCAAATCCGGGTAGACCAAAACTCACCAGCTGAAATCCGATTTGTGCGTAATAAAAACGCTTGTAATCGTCCAGCCAAACCTCTGCGAGTCGGACTGAGTTTCGACGAAGTGGTGAGGAGAAATTCGACACCCACTTGTAAGGTGAACGTGACCGAAAGATATGACCCACGTGGCTGCACAGTATGGTTTCCACACGGCCTCCACACATCCACGTCTGCAAAGAAAGAGGATAGAAAGGAAAACAAGATGAGCCGGATGGAATAAAGCGCAGTAGGTGAACCAAGTGCTGCGTCAGATGATGGAGGCGTAGATGGTAGGACATGTGTCGCGCGATCACAAGCCCAATGACAATGTACATGACAAACGAGTAGAAGACACAAACCCTGCCCTGAAGGACAGAGTTTATAACGCAGTCGTCCGTTCAAATATATGGTTGTGAAACCTGGCCCATCAGGTCGACAGACATAAAGAGGCTAGCCACGTTCGATCATCGATGCCTTCGCAGCTTAGCTCATGTCCAATGGGAGCACCGTGTGAACAATGATCATGTTCGGCGTCGCCTATTTGGTGCAGGAAGAGCGAGAGAACCGCTCAGCACCATTATATCACACACCAGGCTCCGATGGCTGGGCCACGTGTTGCGCATGCCAGCACACTGACTCCTGCGAGATGCATTGTTTGCGCGCCGTAGGTGTGGTTGGAAGAGGAGGAGAGGAGGCCAAGCGATGACTTGGTCGAGAGAAATGAAAACCCTTACTTCGAAGTTAGCGTCGGTTGGTGCATCTCGACTGCCTGGCTGGGGTCCTACGGATGATGTACACGTTTGGTTGGACACACTTGCTGATAAGGCTAGGAGCCGGCCCCAATGGCGTTTGTGTTGTGGGTTCCTTTGTCTATCTCCCGCCCTTTAGGTTCCCCTTCCAATCCTGATCTCACGCAAAACGCATAATATAATAATGTCATATTTTTGTATTGTAGTTTGTAGTGTAAATTTTTAGTCTCCTATCTTTTTTCTATTGCAGCACATTAGCTGAGTTGTGTTTCTCACCCTCAGCTAACTTGTGCTGCTGCTGATGATGATGATTAAGGATGGAAGCAAAAATGACATGAGTCCAGAAAGGTTTACAAAAGGCAGTTGGTGTGCACAAAGCAACGAACAAGATAACGTTTTGGTACCAAGACTCAACCAACCCGATGGAATCTATGTAATACTGGCGATATTTTTGTGAAGAAATGTAGAAATGTTTTTATAATCCCGGAGTTGAACCTCACCTCTTGCTATATCATTCTGAAGAGTATAAATAAGAGCAAAATCCGTAGAAGGCAGTTTCACATAACATGCGAGTGATGCAAAGGGTCGGGACTTGAAGCTGTGCGTGAGGACCCATGAGCACATAAGGCACAACTCACAAGACCTAGACAATGAGCTTTTAAACATCATGATGAAGGGTGCTAGATGAAGCCAGCGTTGTACAGAAGAGGAAGTTAATAAGTAAATCGGTACGCTTATATTGAACTGCGGATCCCGCAAAGCTTTAAACTTTTTAAAGATACTGCTTAGCCTGATGACCAGGAGCTTGCAAGATGCGCGCCGCGACATAAACCTATTAAGGTTAAATGTAAAGCATTGTGATGCAACAGAATGCGACTTCCCTATCGCAGAAAATTAGAGAATATGAACTCGTAAGTACGATCAATACATCTCAAGAGCACCAATCAGGCTGCTAGGCTTCCTTTACAGCGACCATTAGTATAGTGAAGATAGGAGAAGAGGAATTTCTAGTACCGGTCTGAAATAAACGCAAAAACAAGATGCAAAGATGAAAACCGTACAGCAACTGAAGTAATCAAACCCTGCGTCGACTAAAGGAATCACCTTAATGACCGTTTGGTTAGCTCCAATATTGTAATCACAAAGATTATAAAGATAAAGCAACGTTAGAATTGTCCACCAATTTAATCCAGTTAGTTAAAATAAGGACCCTTTGAATGACGGCATAAGAGTGGTGAAAATAAAAGAACCGAGCTTGGTAACCACGTACGAACCGTGAAAACGAGCAATACAGTTACAGCGAAGGTTCGGTTTCTTTTTTAATACCCATCGTAGTGTTCCAAAACGAAAGCTCACTTTGAATGAAAGTTCCAGGTTCTCACCGCCCCAGACTTCCATACCTTCGTCGTAGTAACCAAGTTTAGCGAAGTAGTTACGTGAGATTGCGAACAGGCCACCAGCCATTGTAGGAGTTCTGTGAAACACACAAAGAATTAGAGTGGGAGCGGCAGAATCGTTAGCATCTCTAGCTGCTAGACCACTGTGGGAAAGTTGAGTTAAAAGCAACAAACAACCAGGAATAACTCAATGCAAACACGATCAACATAATAGCTAGACTTTACTGTTAAACAAAAAGGACAAGTTGGATTTGGTGTAGAAACGAAAAAAAACATGCGACGTGACATTACGCTGGATAGATGCTTAAGATCAAAATTACAGAGAATCAAATGAGCGGGTAAAAAGTTATATAGGTAAAACTTGTACAAGACCAAGGCGGTAACATAGAAGAGATAACGGGCTAAATGTGCCGAATTGGACTGAACATTGATTACGATGCTCAATTCGAGAGTAGAATAGATAAATTGCGCTGGTACTGTAGGCAATAGATCGCATAGAAGGAAGGAGAGCTAGGCACATCAGCACCACAACGATACAAAGAGTAACTGGCCTAACAAGCGAATAATACACAACGCTAGTTGTCGGCCACGGCAGAAGTGTAGGGTGCACAAACCATTTAGTACACACAACTCAGGCTTGAGGTGGCGAACGCAGACAGTTTAAGAAAAACATAGATGCTTAAAAAACTCCGCACGAGAAACGTTCGCGGATAGAGTGCTTGCGCGAGCCACTCGAGGGGTCACGACATGAGGGAGCCATTGTAAAACCACCTTATGTTGATACGCGAATACTATGAGATAAACAAGTTCCGATCAAGTCGACAGAGGCGATTAATGAACAAAAGCTCTCACGGGGGTACATTTATCCCACGTAAGTTTGTCCTGCGTTCTTTCATCTTTAAGGAGGAACTAATACGGGTAGCTAGTTGTCCTTAGGGTATAGCCGGTCCTCTGTAATTCCTCGGTAACTGAGCGAGTGCGCCAACACTGCGCACCCTGAAGGCAAGTGGGCAGACTAGATTCCGTTTGTACGGTAGTGGTACCGTGCAGTAAAAGTTGGTGCACTGCCATTTCAATGTGCCTTCTGTACAGCTCTCTGCTGCATAGCGTGACGATGCATCTGATAATATATACGCCTAGAAACGGTAGCCGGCCTGTGGACCCGTGCTCATAGGAATATTGCAGATTATCATGAGCTTCGTTAAAAATGCTTAACTGCAAATTTGTTTCCGAGTTGCATGGTTTATAGTTGTCATCTACCTGGTTGATGTGTGATCCTCCGAATACCCTTCACTAAGATTTTGTGTTTACGTCGTACCCATAGTCTATCTCCCACTGGTAGACACTGACTTTCAAGTCCAGTGATCGTGTAACTACATCGCCACAATGAAGGTGAAAAAAAGTGGGCCACAGCGCATCAAATCGTAGGGAGAGATAAGCAGATGACAGCCGCGTCTATCGCTTAATGAGTGAGGCTGGCTTGCCGAACAACCTCCTCGTGGTGCCAGCTGGGTGGTTCGGGATTTTCCCGTTCCAGCAAATGGTTCGGCGGCAGTGTTCCAGGACGTGGTGGGTTTTCGCCTGGCAAGCGTTCTCCCTATAAAAAGCCACATATGTCCGTTTAACAACACTGTGACGTGGCGGACGTGACTCGCCACTAAATAAAGTCACTGCCCCTTGCTTCATCCTGACGAAGCATTGTATTCCAGCAAATTGATGCTGTAATTTCGGGGAGCATTGGGCCCCTGTTTGGCAAAGGAACAAACGAAAGGCGTATGAACTGATCAATCAGTCACCAGCTCCCAATGGGCGCGATTCCCTGAATTCGCTCCGCTGCCTTGCGGACAGGCTATTCAGCCAAAGGCTCGGGGTGGTGTCCCCTAAGTCAACACCCTACTTCGGCTTGGGCAACCGGGTAGTATTTCGCCCTCTGACGAAACCGTGGACATTGTTGTGTTGTGTTTTCTTTTACTATTTCTGTACCTTGTTTTGAGTTCCATGGTTTCCGATGGTGCAATGTCTATTCATAGACTGTTGCAAAATATATATATATATATATATATATATAATGAGTGAGAGAAGTGCCACATTACAACACAGAGACCACTATGAGTGTCATTAACATCTGTCAATAAAACGCCGAAAGAAGTCGTCAGCAGTACGTGCAGCAGTACCAACGCTCCGCTGCCAAGCGACAACCAACGGTCGCGCGTGGGCTTAGTATACCGCGAGGACGTCGACCTTACGCGGATTCAAACTGGTGAACCAGGAAGTACAAATCAGGAGAACAATGCTTTCGGCCACCGATTGACCCCGGTCTTCCGACGAATAAATTACAATACGCACCGAAGAGAGTTAAGTTGAGTCGCATAGCTTACACGAAGTGCGAAAAAAACACTGTTCCGGCGTGACCGACTGGTTGAAATAATGTTATTGAGTAAGCAGTCATCACTCAGTTAAACACCAGTTAAGTGTAGGTACAAGCAGAGAAGTCTTTTTAGAAACAGTAAGATTAAAGAATTTCTCCCATCATAAACGGAAAGGTCTAAAAGGAGATCTGTAAAAGTCGCGGACTTGCTGAGTCGCTCGCATAACTCGGCGAACCTTGAGCGGAGCTCACCTTAGCAATACTGACAGCAAGTGGAGATTTAAAGTGCACAGGCAACAACTGCTGTCTTCTTTTCCATTAACGTGGCAACTCAAATTGCCTTACTAACATCCACCTTCCTCAATGGTTCACACATTACCCTGTCATACAACTCAGCCATAAATATTAGAGAATAGAAAGAAGAAAGACATTAATATAAAATAATAATAATAGCAATAGTATTATCACTGGGGAACAAAGTCAGTCGAATAAGGAGCTGCGGTCAAACAACGACTTAATAATCTCTAAGCCAGACAAGGGTTCCGGCACAGTGCTAATGGATAGGGTGGATTATATCTGTAAAATGCAGCACATCCTCAGTGAGGAGAGTAAGTTCCATAGGCTAATGGCAGGAAAAGATAACACAGAAGAGTTAGAGAAACAGCTGACGGGTTGCCTCAGGCGAATGATGCATGCCAAATTCATCACGAAAAAGGAATTCGAAAAGCAGAAGTCTTCATGTGGACACCTATAGAGATTATATGGCCTGCCTAAAGTTTACAAGAAAGGCGCCCCAATGCGCCCAATCTTGGATCTGGTGGGTTCTCCCCAGCATTTGTTGGCCCAATGGATGGTGACGAAGCTGCAGTCGTTACGGAATTTGATTTGCACTTACTACGTGAGAGACAAGTTCGAATTCATTGAGAGGATATCCGAAATCAACCATGATAACAAAAGGATGATAGCATTCGATGCCTAGTCTCTGTTCACAAACATTCCATTGCTCGAAACCGTGGATTACGTATGCGAGCTTGCTCGGCAGCTTCCCATATACGCAATCTTTCCAGAGAATTTGCTAAAATAGGTACTATATCCTTGCAGGTTGAATGTTCAGTTCGCCATCAGTGGTGAAATTTACCTTCAGCTTGATGGAGTGGCCATGAGATCTCCTTTGGGGCCGCTGCTGGCTAGTATTTTCATGGTGAAAGTGGAACACGGCCCACTTACAACGCACATAGGTGGAACGGAAATGTACGTGCGGTATGTTGATGATACCTTCGTAGTTTGTAAATCGAAAAAGCATGTGGAACAGTTGCTGAAAGCTTTCAATGACGCACACAAGAACCTCCACTTCACCTGTGAACAGGAATTCGAAAACCGGTTACCTTTCCTAGATGTAGAAGTTATCCGTAACTCGGACGAATCATGCCGCAGAAAAGTACACAGAAACCACACCTGGACTGGGCAGTACACTAACTTCCACAGCGCAGTAACACTACAGTATAAGAGGACTTCAATCAGATCTTACGCCTTCACGGCGCGCAGTATTTGTACACCAGATAATGGTTATCCTGATAAATTTATCATGAAGCATTTGAAGGAACGCAATTGGAAGCCACCTAGGAGCATTGCTCCTAAGGAAGTTTTTCATACATATGCCACTTAAGGGCGATTCTGCAGCTCATAGGTTTTCCGGACGCGTGGAAGATGCAGTTGAGAAAACTTATTTCGCGGCCCGCCTGAGAATTGTTTATCACAAGCCCTTGCTTACAAAACCCTTGAAAGATAGATTGCCGTCGTTGATCCGTTCAATGATCGTTTAGCAGTACTCGCGCTTCTGTGGTGCACGATTTGTGGGTCGCACTACGAGGCGCTTATCTCAGAGGATTCTTGAGCACAATCCGGCATGGTTTTACAAAGACGGAATGAGGTCCTCAGACAGCTTAATCATGTCGCACCTAATTGAATGTGGCCATACAGCTTCCGAGAATAACTTCAAAGTAACTTACTCACTATCTGAACAGCCCTTATTCATCGCAGAGGCTATCAACATCCACCATCTGAAGCCGGAACTATGTGTACAAAAACGATTCATACGGCCCATACCTTGGCCAACTGACACTGTTACTCAGTTATTTGGTTGTTATCCTACCTACTTAATTACTTCGAACTACTGAGTTTCGTGTTTGGATGTTTTTTAGTTTATTTGGTTTACCATCCGTATCCCTGTGTTGTTATCGATTTTGATTGTTCAAACAGCCCAGAAGTCAATACCAGCCCAAGTTGACACTTTCCTTACAATCATTGTTATGCATATGTTAGGGTCTGATGAGAGTTCACCCAAAAGAATTCTGAAGTGATCACTGATATTGATTCATATTAATGAAATGGGACTATTTGCTTTGCTGACGATCAGCATTGCCCGTGATTCATTGAAGGAAGGATTTGCCTTCGGCTGAGTAGTAAACAAACTCTAGCTATAAGCCAGTTAATCTTTTCTGTATCTCAGCGCAATTGTGCGAGGTAACGCGTTCGTCTTCGGTCTCAGCTTGCATGTACGAACGCCATGTGGCTGGGTCACTTGAGCGTTCGTCTCCAAGCTGCTTATCTTCACCCTTCAACCACGAGCTTCGTCTTGAAACACAACATGTTACTAAGCAGCATGCTACCTGTTGTTTTGATTCTCTAACGTTTAGTGTCTCGATTATGAAAATATGTTATCTTTTCGTAGTACCGTGCAATAATTGAAGTGTGTTTCTCCCTTTCAGCTAACGTGTAATGATTATGATGATGAGGTCACTTAGGCCCTGCCGATCGGAATTCAACTGGCTACACTGCGGGGGCCGTATCACAAGTTAGAAGGTTTTGATCCGTTCCGATCAGGGTTGGAAAAAACTAAGATGTGGCGAGTAAGAAGTATCGACAGTTCCATTCTAACAGTGCCAATATGACACAGATATGGAAACAAGAGATAAATGAAAACCTCTCCAGTTCTTCCATCCGGTTACCTTACATTGGCGGAGATACATTGTCATCGTGAAAATCGGGATAATAACAGCTGTTCCAGTAAGTTGGAACAATCTCCTGTCCCCAGAGTTGCACAAATAAATGGTATAAATCAATCAAGAGCAAATCCCGCGCAAAGTTGCAAAAAGTCGACATGCTCCCGAGGCCTAGTCAATTTCAGTAGTCTGATCTGACGCTCGACTTTTGAGCAAGTGGGTGTGGATACAAAGCGCCGGTCCTCAGATCAGTGTGATCACAACCCGACGAGAAACCTAATAAATTTGGCCGAATACATTGCATTTCAAAGCATTCGGACTAACGCCCCAAGCGTTTTAACAGGCTGTCAATAGGCTGTATACTTTCATTGCATATAGTTTGGCTAACATCATGTCTCTTTCTGTTCGTTTCCCGTCTCAAACGAAATAACTAACGGTGGTTACAAAAGGTAGTAGCGATTTCCATCTCCGATGCATGGTGAGACCCAGAGGCATCGTGATCTACCTTCAGACTTACATAGAGTTCGGCTCCGTGATCTCTGTGAATCTCGTTGTTTTCACTCCCAGCTGGAATGTGTCAGAGAGCAATCACAGACTGAACAGATACCCAATGTCCACCTTGTCAATTCAATGTACTCCACGAAGACATACCTGCTGCCAATAGGGTATGGTGAACATGCGACCTACAACAGTGTTCCTCAAGCCTTTACACAATTCAAATACCGGCATGATTTGATACGCATGCATATCATATGACCTCGACAGTTGGTGGGTGTCTATGCGTCCACGGCGTCATCGCGGACATGCGCAGAAACGCACCCGCAAGTCTTCACATACCAATGCACGATCTGTGTTTGGACTGCAAATAAAACGACAGTTTTTAACACAGCATATCCAACGGTAACTAATCGCGAGGTGATTGATTTGCGCCCATGGCCGGTCCAATGCTGATGGGCGCCATGTCAACCTCCTGCATCACCATCATATATACACGTTAGCCGACCTCAGCTAACGTGACACAATCAAAAAAGCGATAACACAGCATGTGCTGTGTCGAAAGTTAGTGATCACGATGAATAAATAACAATCTCCACACAGGTGTAACAACCGCTCATCGTTATCATTACGAGAACCTACACTCTGTTAATCGCTCAGATGCGGCTCATTAGTGGACAGTTGTCCAACCCGAGCATTCAGATCACCAGTCAGCACTACAGTATCCATAATTTTTCTGTGCCGAGAGAGCTAGTTCCGTTGACGATAGAAGTCATCTTGCAACGAGTGTGTTGTAGTTTGTGAAAGCCTAGACAGCGATGACAAATAGACACCTATTGTCCACGCGCGACTTCGGAGGTTTGAACGAACCAGCCAATCTAGCGGCGTACATCCTGCTGTTGATAAAGATCCAATCACATATCTGACTACTGACTGAGATCTGGTCCATCAGAACAGCTGCAGACCGGGGGCTCAGTGCAGTCCCACACCGGATTGACCGGCATTTGAAGCGTCATTATCTCCAGACAAACGTAATCGGAATGTAGCATTAGTATCACCTGAAGGTGATCATAGAGCGAGCACAGAGATCGAACCTTACGGGCGGTTTCCGATAAGCAACAGATGGCGATCGATTTGGTCTTCGATTTTCGGGTAAGTGTTGCCTTTCGACTGATTTGCAACGAAGTGCGCACGTTAAATTATGTCCTCTTAGCGAGAGTGAAAGATTCCAAATAGAAGCGGAGGAACTGAGGTATTTCACCTGGTTGGACATGACGTTGTAGATAGGGCAGGAGTGAGACTGTGCGAATACTGTGTGAGTCGGAAGTAGAAACTGAATGTTTATGAAAGCAAGCGGATGAGAAGTCAACAATATGGGGAATGAAAAGTGATGTGATGATAGTGAAGTTGGAACGGGGCGATAAGAATGAAAAACTACAAGGAGTAACAAAGGGACATGTGCATGTAGACCGATCGGTGGAGCAGGCAAGGCACCATTGGTTATCGTCCGTGACCTGAAAGGTATCAAGAAATTGCTTTTAGAACGGTTCATTGTATTGGTTGGGGTCATCGGCTCGAAATCGTCGTTCTTTGTAGAATGTAGATCGAGGGGTTTTAAAGGTCGAACATGCCATTGTTTTTGCGTAGTTACTTTTGCCAGATAAAGCGCTTATTCTTTTGACACTTGTTACCCTCCACATTTAATGGAAGGCGAAGTGGCAAGACATGAAGATAAGTCTGACCGCATTCGTAATTTTCTGAAACCCGTACACTGGCATATAACAGTTGTGATTGGTGGCAATGTATGCAATTCGGTCCAGGTACTATCGCCCTGTTTTGTGTACGGAGTATTGTTTACATAATGGGCACCAAGTGACGCGATGCTAACGTTGACGTTGTGACGCTACCATGGTTGTGGATTGCACAGAGGTGAAGTGTCAGGTAATCAATCGAGGTATAGAGATGCAAAAACGAACTTCAACAATGATTTTCGTGTCAACAACACGATAAAGGCCACGGTGTTGGTGGTTTGCACTGTGAAAACGAGTGAATCGCATATTCAGTCATTACCTGCCGGTGCGGGTGTGGAGTCAAAGTAGAAACACGCGCAAGTGGTCACTAACTGAAAACCCTTCGGGCAGGTTGCGCTTAGAATTTAGATAGAGGTCAACTCCAAGACTGCGAAACGCCAAGTGTCGTTCGCTCCGCACTACCAGAGGTGCCAAAAGTATAATAATTGACACTAGATTTGGAGCAAGGTAGCTAAAGAGGTCCTATGAGATTGTTAGTCGTAGACATGTCTTAGAAAATGGAAAAAGAACAAACGATGAAGACGAAACACTACGCATGCACGGCGTGGACTAACCTGAGAGGAGAGTACGGTGCGCCGGGTCTCAATCGGTCCGCTTCCGGTGCCGGATGCCAGTGGAAAATCAAATTCCAGTCAAAACCGCCGACTTGTACATTTTTTGCTTTTGTTGAGTGGTATTGTAAGTTTTTGTCACTAATCACCTCTATGATGGGCACTACAACGTTGGTCTCATCTTCTTTGATGCGATACAGCATGGGCTCTAACCAACCTGCGAGGATGAAATGCACACGAGGTGCATAGATTATCAGATAGTGGAGAGAGAGATGTCCGGACCACCCTACTAACACTGGATCCAAATATGCAGATAAACCAGCACAAATAATCTCAGAAACACCATTACCGAAAACGAACGGCGTTAAAACTCAATCGATTAGGTCAAGCAGTTCAATGATGTTGCCTATCATATTAGGTGGAAATAAAACACTAGCAAAGTTAAAAATTGTGCAGTAGATCCAAGGTGTTACGAGAGAAAAAAAGCGAACTTCTGTTGGTATAATGTCACGCTGTGTACCCAAGGGAACACGGACAGGGAGACTGGTCATTTCAAGGAAAGACATGGTGGCCAGCAGAAAAGCGAATAGGGAAATTGCCTGAATTTATGAAGAAGTGCATAGTTCAGTCACACGCTTCCAAACTGCAGAGACATAAGACGAGCGATAACGAGAATAATATGTATATTTCACGGATGCGGGAGAAACTATTCCTGTAAGAAGGATAGGCCATTAGTTACAGTTATGGAGATGCATCTGCATGCGTGAGATAGGTATTCAGCAGTACCTGGGTTGTTATTATTCCGAAATACTGTGTCTTGTTGGAGCTGCGGTTTTCTGTAACATATAGTTTGCCCATCCTGCAACAGGTCATTTGGCGATTTTTCTCACGAAAACATGAACATGATGAAGTTCTGGTCTAGAAAACTTCGATATTTAATGCGGAATGTTCTTGCGTGCGTACAAAATTTGATGGCAGCTGGTAAGCTATTTCTGACTAGGAAGAAGCTAGAGTGGACAGCTATCCTGGTTCTTGGTACAATTAGTTTGCTTGTTCCGAAGCCTCTGACTAGTCACGTTGCAATTGAGTATGTGCTCTGGTTTACCATACTGTGCGTCGGCGTCTAATTGTGCTTTAATGGTTGCAACCAAAGAGACTCGAGGTAAAGCTTCTGTCAACATCTTGATAGCCCAAAATGAACGCTTTAACAGACAAATGCTCCTTGAATGATTACTGCTTCCCTTCCAAGGATTTTCTCTCGCCTATGTGCATATTTCTATGATTGATGCTACAGTACTCAAGGATGGGAAAAGAATTTCGAAAAGTTTAATTTCGATAGACTGTATGAATTGCCGGTTCTACAATACTTGATATTCGACCAGCTCTGAAAAGCTGAAATTGGAAAATGATCGTATTACTAAATCATAACTAGACAGCTTTACACAGCTGCGTTCATCAATGAGATAACGACTCCTCAGGGATCGAACACTCGTAGTGCGTGATACTGGATTCATGAGCCGAGAAGGTTATCGGTCGTGTCATACAATTTCTCGACTGAATTGATGCCTTCTTGAATGAGCAACATTGTGCTCCGGATTTCATTTCCTCGATATCCACAAAACAATCTTATAGTCATTCGTAAGTAAAAATGGTATGCCATGTTTGATTGACATGCTGATATCGTTGTATGTGGCGTAGGAAAAGAGAAGGACTAAGTATGCTTCCTTGGATAACACTATGCAGCCATATCTGCGAAAGGGAACCAATACGACTCACCTTTCGTACACTCGATGTGTGAATCAAGGAAGGTGATTACTTCCGCAGTGGATGCGCGTGCACCGAGCATTCTCGCTCGTATTAGCCCCTCCCGACGGGTCGATCGTACGATTTTCACTATCTTCAACCGACTCATATAGAGATCCAAATCTGCCTTGAGATAAGCTGGAGAAGGGTAATTAAGAAAAAGACACGTTAAAAAGCCAAGGCTTTCAATGGGAATTCAGAGCAAAGGAATGGAGAACTAAGAGAACTAGAGGCTCTATCAAGGAGGTATTTTGATCAGTACACTGAGGCAAAATCATGATGGGGAGAACTGAAGCAGAAAGCTCAAATTGGGCTGAAGGTGACGACAAAGAAAAACGAAAATAGTTTCAAAACACAGTGTTAGCAAAATCGCTGCCGCGACAGAGGCAACAAAACACAAGCAAGAGAAGTATAATTTGGGGCTGACAAAAGAAATGAGGTAATTTGTACGTTTGCCACAAAAATTACATGAGTGAAAATACTCGTCTGTGTCGCGATAGGCCAGCGAGCACTCAGCGAACAGGAAAAAGGAGACAGCTGGTCAGATAAAGCTTATGTACCTACCGGCCTTTTCTGACGAATTTATCTGACAGCGCCTTTGGCCCGACTGGAACATCGTGAAGCAGTGGCCTGAAGCAACGCAATGTAATGTACTCCATTGGTGCGTAAATGGTCCTAGAAACGGCTATAAAAGCGACCTACGGTTATTTCGTAGTCAAATACAAAAGAGAGAGCAACTTCACATTACTCATCGCTTTTGATCCAAGTTATAACGACTTCAAGAGCACAAGCCGGTGCAAATACAGATACGTTGACGGCGGTATGACCAAAAGAGAAGTCGAGTGCCCTCAACAATGCGGACTCAGTAAATGAGTCCGCTCAAATCATATATACTGCCAATTAATCTGATTTATTATGGGTAGACGGAAGCATATGATATAAAATGTCCTCGGTGCTAAGCCTGATACAAATCAGAGACATGAAAGAACCTGAGAGCAAATACGAATTTTACTGCAAAATTCATGCAACAAAACGTCCACCACAATCGCTTCAACTTGGGTACGCGCTCTTTTCCCAGCCAGCAAAACAGCCATGGGAACGGATATCATCCAGCTGTTCCGATGCACCTAGTAGTGAACACGCACTGAAGCTGAAATTTCGCCTAGTGATGAAACAAAAAAGCATTACACCATGATCCTAGTGTGTTCTGAACAGCGACGCATGGTTCAGTATCAACTATCGGTGCCGTGCACATGAGTGAGTTGTGGATCCCGAAAATGTAAGGTCAAAGTGAAGACGAAGTAGGTCGGTAAGCATAGCACCAAAAGTAAGCATTTATTCAGACAAGTCGACTAGTAGCGAAAAGGAAGAGCTAACGTCCAGTGCCGGAGTTGCGCATATAACGGGCTTATAGTTACCGCACAGTAGAAACAGGCATCTCGACTCAGCAAAAAAGCGGAAACAACAAGAGAGCCTCATAAGATTTACAAGGGATTTCGTTTGGAGTGCATGAAAGAAAAGCAGAGATAATTTGAGCGGATTGTGAAGAAAGCTAACGTGAATGGAGCAGATCTAATGGCCAGAATGATATCCGTTTATCAGTTCAGCTCAGTTTAGTTCGCTTGGAGAACTATGATCTGAGCACCGATGTGTACTAGATCCAGCTACCATGACTCACATCGCAAGAATAACAAGAAATAAGGCAAAAGATGTGGCTGAACATCAATATAGCACATAGAAAATGAAACCAAGGAGGTGCGTTAAACTAATCAGGATAAAACGAGAATTAGCAACCCGATGCAAGAAATCGAATACAGGAACGCCACTGACTACACGACTGGGGCATGTCTGATAGGGTTGCCAACAACTGATGTAGGCAATCCTTAACCAAGATGATGATACGCACCAGTCTGATCAGGCCTCTCAGTCATTTTGGCAAGCTTGTATGCCACGCCACAGACTGGCCATCTCGTGCTTACACCTAACTTGGTGCAGCCACGGCGTATAACGCACGCTGAGGATGCCGGTCAATAGGCACACGAAAGACAGCCTAGGGAACGTAAGGGGTTATGAATTAGCAAAAACCAGGCACCAGAAGGGTTCTTCAAAAAACCAACTGGCGGATCACAGCATTGCTCACCCGGTGTACCCACCAAAAGTAAACAGTACTCCGCAAGCACCAATGGTCAAACACGACAAGCGTTTCATATTCGCAAGGCGAGCAGGTTGTCTCCGATCCATACAGTAACACCACCGTTATCACAACGTTATACACCCTACCTTTCACTGACAGGTTGATGTCCCACCGTCGTTATACATGGTTTAGTCTCTCTACAGACACAGGGTCTTTGTGTTACGAGAAGTTATTTCCTCGATGATGTGACCACCAGAGGTGACACAATTAGCAAGGTAGGTGAACCGATCCACCACTTCCAGCGGCTGTTCAGTGATAGCCAGAATCAGTGGCGTATCGATTCAGTCCTGCAACAATATTTTGGACTTTGAAGGTGCAAAGCCCATGCCGAAAGTTGCAGCGCAACGTGTCTGCCTGTTCGGAAGTGCTAGTATAGCTACCACGTCAGACACAAGAGTCGCTATGTCGTCCGTATGCTACAGGTTTGTCAGTAAGTCACCTAGAACTTCCATTACGGAGGAGGCTGACAGAACGGAGACATTTGTGATCGTTTGGATCACAAGGTTGAAGAGGCAAGTAGATAACAACAACCCTGGTGAACCCCAGTTGTCACGGGGAACTGAGAAGACAACTTCAGGCGTCAGCAAGTGACAATGTCGCAGCAGGCTTGCTGAACTGCTCTCTAAAATGGTCCACCCAACAGGCTAATTGACGCGGCTGAGAATCGGTCAGCTCTCCACTTACCTCATCTATTATCTAAATAACCGTGTTATTGGACGCGTGTTCCAGCTGAGGGGGAACAGTTCTCGGCTCTTCCCGACTGCACTGGTTTTCTCCATCCCATGGGTCCCTGCCATCAACCAAGGTTCCTAATGAATTTGAAGGCTAATTGATTGCCGTCATTTTATGGTGCTGTGGATATGTTGAAACGCAGTACCTATTGGAGCCCGTGTGGGTGCTTCGAGCAAACCGATCAACGTTTCAGATCTATGAACACTTCTGACGTTACATATTTGGCGTACAGTGAGGTGTCAAAGGCATTCTTCATGGCACACTTGGGACGATTCCAGTCAGCGTTTCGCTTCCAAACCTTATTTGTCACTGACAATTGATTGACCAGTTCGTAAGCAGAACGTTGGATTGCAGCTTGCGCATGTAAGATACACGTGCTCAGTTTTTTGAAGCGGGAAGAGTTAGCGCCAAGAGTGCGTGCACTAGAGCGTGTTCGGAATCCAGACATGTGCTCCAAATTGACCGGCAGTCTAAGGTAGCTAAGGTAGCTCTACGTTTTGGTGGTACACGGAAGCGTCACCGGGAACGACTTGAATTGGTTAAGCTTTCTGCGACAAATGTTCTGAGCGCCTTACAAGTCCCAATAATGCTTTGGGCTCAGACGTTGAGATGCATTGGGCGCACATCCACAACGACACACAACTGTTCGACCACGGTCTGTGATTTCCATGGGTCACCGTACAATTTCCCTAGATTTCGAAGCCCGTCGAGTAATTCTAGCTGGCGTTGCGTATCATTCACTACTCAGGGCTACCAACACCAAGCTCAAGAAACTTATCAGTGAAAATCGAGAGGCTTGGTGGATACAGTGGGTCATCGGGATGAAGCAAGCTGCTAACTTGGTGAATTTTCGCAAGCTTTCCCCCCTGATCCTATACAATGGTAATAAAAAACCCGACTGAATGCGGTTTTATGCGAAAGCAATAGAAAGCCAAACTACTGTCAATAACGTCGAGTTGTGCGTTGGGCTGAACACATCGAACAGCAATGTAAATGGCCTAAAGCACCGATAATTTATCAGTTAGAAATTCACAGTGCTCCCTTGTATGTAGACGCTTCACCACAATCCGAGGCTAAGGTAGTCTATAAGTCTCGCATCCTGATGAGCAACAAAGTCCTTGGCCACCGGCTCTATTCAAAGATGGAGGCCTATTACTTGTATGGGAACTACCTTTATCCAAGAAAATGAGATCAGTAAAACAACTGCATCCGATTGGCGTCTAACCGATATCATTCAAGTTGCCAAAAATGGTGCCCGGACGGATTGCGGTAATCATCGAGGGACTTGTCCAATCTGTGTTGCACTAAAAGGGCTCAAAGCCCTGCTTTGTAAGAGGGTTCGGCCTAGTTCGCGAACAGAACATATGCGAATAATAAGTTCGATTCCGCTCTGGTTGGGGTTGTATCGATCAAATCTTTATGATCCGCTGGATACTCGAGCATTGTCAAAAGTTCGGCCGGCTAACGATCGTTATTTTTTTAGACATACGAGTCGCGGTTGACTCAGTTGACCGAGCTGCACACTCTGGAATGGTCTGTTGTGAAGGGAAGTGGCTATGAAGCGAGTCACTGAACGCAAAAAGAAACGGTTATTTTGTAGTCGATACATGTACATACGAAAAGTGACGCAATGTTGATACGGATGATCCGTGAATGAACAAAGTGGCAATAACAGAAGAAAACCAGTAAATTGACAGTGTCCACTTACGCTGGCAGTGAAGGTCCGCGGCTTTCGAATGCGTGATGATAGCACGCGTATTCGCGCTAAGAAGTAACGCGACCCGATAGTTGGGTACATGCAGCCTTCTTGAACAGGGGCTCCGGGTCGGTCACATCCACAGTCAGAGAGCTGCTCCAACACGGTGAAATTAACGGATCGCCCACATCTGGTCATTTGCACCCAACCGTCAATACTTTCATCCGAACACTATCTCTATGTTATTTTTGCAGGTTTCCTTATTACGCCCCCGCCGTAAAGTATTGATGTGATGCTGTTGCAAGTCATGACAGCTGGATCAAACATCTTTTGGTGCTGGGGTCACAAGTGGGTGAACTAAGGTAAACTGTATGCACATGCGCTTAGAAGCTGGTATGGCAATGGGTAATTCACAGCAACGGACTCCTGCAGCACAGGAGCAACTGAGAGAAATTCGTTTCCACATGACCCGATGCACACAATCCCATTGGAATAAGAAACCAAGATGCCGGGAATGTACACAGCGGACATTAAAATGTCGTATATGCATCACTAAACGGCAATGCATAGTGCCAAGTTACCACCCACTATTAGGCATCGGTACAATGTGTGGAATGCGTTTCCATTGGTCAGCAAATTTCAGTAGAGAATATCCGGACAGTATCTGGTGTTAGGGAACAAAACAAAGTGGACTAGTTTAAGACTGGTTACATGAAAATGAAAGTGGTCATCGGTTTGATACACGCACGAGCTGCAGTGGCTCTCCAGATTGTTTCAGCGTAAAGTGCAAGTCCGAGGTTGCAGTGGGCATTGATGAGAAAGAGAACTAGGATGATACAAGTTCAGAGAAGTTAGAAAAGAATCGGTTAGTGTAGCTGTTGTTTCCAAACATATCTGAAGTCATGACCTAGATCAGTTCGAAGTATCTTCAAAGACTTCGGAACTAGGAGGATAGTTGTACTTCAGGGAAATTGAGCCCCAATACCTGGTGGTGAGAGATTGTATGATCGTAGAATAACATAATGGAGAGCATCGGGGCTTAACAAAATCTGTTGTAGGAACAGTCGCAGCTTGAGAAGAATATATCTGCAGGAGAACAAAATCAAGCTACGACAAGAAGAAATGACATCAGCAAACTGGATCAAAGAATATCGACGAAGCCGTTAATGGAGCGTGCTGCTCCGCAAAAGCCTTACTCAAGTGCAATAGGAAAAATATCTAATTCGTCGACGAGGTGACTAGAGAGTAATCGTTGAACGTGCGTTCCACATGACTCACTTCGGTCGGAAAAGTCGTCGACGAGGATGATCTCCCTCAACAAGGTAGGTGGCGAGTTATCAATCACAGAATGCACGGAACGAAGCAGAACAGACCAGGCCTCATTGTGGAAACATATAACCACCGAAGTTTGAGGAAGGTCACTAGGGAACGTTTGAGTCTTGCAGCTGGGAAGGTGAAAGACAAAAAAAGTGAATGGTAAATAATAATAACTAGATGTCCTCCCGATTGCTACGGCGTGAAAAGTCTCGAGGGAGGATAAAAGCCATCTAAATGCCGTTGCTTCGAACATGCAGTATAAGTGAGATAGAGTTCGCACAACGCTGTGCGTGCTTGACAGAATATCCGTCGATAACGTGGGACAGATGTAATGTCTAGCAGTTAGAGATATAAAGTACAGCATCTCAGTCCATCCGTCTTTTTTCATACAACATTAATTTTAAGTCCGGTCAGTTTTGTTTATCTTTTACCAAGTTTTTTTTACCCACAGCATCTTATCCCCAAGTAATCTGTTATGCGGTCAAAACAAAATAGTTCTGGTCTGGCGACCAAGAAGCCGACAGAAAGCATAATTCATCCACACCGGAAGATTGCTCATCTGTTGAAGGGATGCGGAGACGTTCACACTAATCAACTGACCGAAGCGCTTAGTAAAATTGACTCCCATGAAAACGAAGTAAAAATATTTAAGAACGCATGGCTTGTTGTTAATGGAACTTTGTCAAAAATTATGCTGTTAGGTCAGTTATCGGATATTTATAAATCTGATGACCCTAGTGACCTGAAAACGGCAGATGAGCTACTCTTATCTATTGCAAACGAAGTAAAGCAAAGCGTTAATTGTACCCACAACGCAGTAATTTTCAACGTATCTGGCCGCCTTGCATTCGACAAAGTAAAACACATAGTGTCAAATGTGTACAAAATGACCCCGAATCGCTGCACCTACAAACGATCAAAAAAGACTGGGTCAGTTCGATGTTGCCCATTGCCTTTACCTTTAAAAGCCAAGAGCTTAGCAAAACTTTCTTAGAGCATAAATTTAACGGGACCTCAGGCCAATTTTCGCTGTTATGACGCCGCTAAAAAGAGTCTTTCTTTCATCTGGTGTGACTCAAGTAGAGCAAAGAAAGTGTGCCGCAAAGTACGAATGTCACCAGCCCGACCCTAACGCAAAATGTAGACTCAAACGCACTTCTAAGGCAGAAATTCCCGACAATAAGGCGAGATCAATCGCAACTCGAACGGCAGAGGATGTCGAAACTGACACTGCATCGACTGTAACTTCCATTGATGGTGCTACTGCTAATAGGACCACATGTGTTGCACAGCACAGCGACTCCGATATGCGGGACACAGACAATGAAGCTGAGAGTAATTGGGCCCTACTTCCCGTCCTTGATAGCTCTTATAGTACTAGAGGTGTCAAGCACCCATCTGCCCGTTCTCTAAAGGAAAAGAAATTGCCTAAACGACGCAAAATATTTCTTACTCTATATGGATTAAATGAGGTTCGTCACCACCATGGCGAAAACCGTCCCAAATATCCAAAAGCGAAAGATACAAAAATACCGGTAACCTTTCGACCTGTTTGTCTGCAGAAATACTCCGCATCCGGAAACTCCGCAGCGCATATCTTCTCAGGCTGTGCAGTCATGCAGACACCCGTACCTGTTAGAAAATCTGAATGTGCTAACTCGCAACCAGTGCCCTTCTGTCAAAGTACAACCATCATCTCTCATTGAGCAATATCATGTTGACTTAGCTACCCTGTCGAACTGTATGAAAGCCAAGAAAAACAGTATTTCAGTCCCATTGCACATAATATCCATAGAAACATGAGACATCTAACTCGCACTAATCAACACACAACCCAGTTTATGGAATATGGTGAGTCAGTACTTACCAGACTAGTCTCAAAGGCAGAATGAAATAGCTCTATATCGTCAAGGCTTCTAGCCGTGTCAGATTCCCGCCAAATTACCGATCTCAAGCACCTGACTGTCTCTTGCCAACCATTCTACATTAGACGACAAGTCTCCCAATGTTACTGAGCACTTTAATATCATCAATGCAGCGTAATCTACTCATGCGGCTGTCCTAAAAGTTCTCAATACAAAGCATCACACGTCTTCCACTAGTGTATCGATGATACCTATGTCACCTACTGCCTCTATGAATGTGCGCAAAATCCTTACTTCGATACCGACCTCACGATTCTCAAACCATGGAATAAGCAGGGGTTGGTGAGTACAGATAAATATAACAGTACATACCTTAGAGACATTCGGATCACCGTGAGCGTAGCATAACATTTATTGACTGTTGATAGCGCTCATCGGTCGGCTTTCCTCGCTCTGTTGCCAGGTTGGTTTGCGCCGTTTATTACCTTGTACACTGCAGTCTTTCGGCTTTAATTCCTGACAAATTAAGTCACTTTGGTGATTATCGATCAGTTTGTTGTGCATAAGCATCTCACCAGATATTATATTGGTTTTAAGTTATGTTCTAGAGGTTCCATTGATTCCCTTTTTCCGGAAGACCTGCTAAGCCGTTCGTAATGACGAAACAGACATTCTGTGACACTCACCGCAAAATTGTTGGACATAGAGCTAGTTGCTATCACATGCTTGATTTCTCATGTGAATTTTCACATCTCTTACAGTGGTTTATCCACAGATCTATATAAACTTCTGCGTGGAATTCAGCGTGACTTTGTCCCAATATTATGTAAGTAGTGCAAGGGTAAAGTGCAACCAACGCCACTCAAGAAACCTAGAAAGCCATAGCGAGGAGCTCCATGCGTTCTTCTTAACAGTAGGAATCCCAGTCACCCTTGTGTTCGAAGGAGCCCACATGCCTAGAGGCTAACTCCAAAGAACAATGTCCGTCCGTTAATGGGGGCTCAGGTGGTGTGTCTATGCCTGTGTTGCGTCCTCAAGGCACTTACGCCCCGCTGCGCGATAGCATAAGCGATGAATGCCAATGGAAAATGCAATGGAAAAATGAGAGGGCAACTGAAGGTGACCAGCGGCATTGCAACCTCATGATATTTCATACGCCAGAGTCAACTGATGTAGATGCTCAGGATGGCTATAACCACGTCTTTTCTGCAGAGTCTGATCGACAGACTAATCGACATTGGTGAACAAGGGTTAACAGTGAAGCAAATCGCCCGTCTTGAAAAGTATGAGAGGAGGACCTGGTCTCTGCGAGTTGATAAAGCCTGTCCGAGGTTGACACTATCCCGCTCGGTAGGCTAAAAAGTCGGTATATATGTATTCGCCCAGTTATGGATCCGTCGAATCATAATAAACTCAAGTACGCTATCGTTGAGCCTAAGCCGCATGTTAATAGTGGGGAAATTGTCTTAAGGTTGTAAATGTTCGGGTGGTTCCCCGGGTTCGTCGAAAACACATTAACAGGTCTATGACACTCCATGCACGGTCAGTAGTACCTACCGTGGATTGCGCGTAGCCTTTACTAATGTTTGCAGTTTACGGAACAAACGTGACGATCTGTACCACTCCGTTGCATTTCGTCGACGGGACGTACTAGAACTCGCTGAGTCCTGATTGAATTCTGAGTTAACCGTCCAGAAAGTGCAGATCGAGGGATACTCGTGATTATGGTGAGACAGACAACTGAACGACCGCGGTGCTACTGCTATGCATTCGGTGCTCATTGCGCCTACCGAAGTGAGGATGGTCTATGCAAGTAATTGTGGTGCTCGATTCAGCTGAAGCGTGGCGTACTGTTGGTGGGTGTAGCTTATCGTAGTCCGTGAAGTTGCTGTTTAGATTGCTGGCCGCATGTCCGAAACCAGATGAGTCGTACCCGCTTTCAGCGCATGAATGATTTTAGCTTCCCACAAATATGCTAGCCTGAGGTATGAATTCTCCCCGGGCATTGTGAAGTCGAGGCGAAGGTTGCTGAGATGATGTTTGAGGATGGGGAAGCACAACTTATCTGCACTACACCGCACACAGATGCTTCGTGCCTGGACTTGACGTTATGGCTGTGAACGGCATCTACGTCCACTGGAGCCATCCTATAACTAATGGAAGGCTGACTTCGGTGGTTTCCATCGAGCCGCTAGTCAAGTGGACTGGTTGCTGACGCAAGATCCATCTGCTGAAGCCTGTCCGCCCACCATAAATTAGAGTGTAAAATAGCTGTGCGCTCGATTTGTATCCACCAAGTATCGCAAAGCTTGGCCAATGAAGTCACACTGGTTCGACAGAGAGTATGACCAGTTGACTCGACGGCGACGCATACAGTGAAATAAATTCCTCCAGTCTGACTACACCGACGAGTAAAAGGTGTACAAAAAGCAACGGAATCTATGCTACGGCACGGAAGTTCAGAAGCATTGACAATTAGAAAAGAAGCTTGTAACCGCAGCAAAGATGGCGCCCAAACGAATCTTCGCTTACGCGAAGCAGCGCCTAAGAGCTACAGACGATTTAGCAATGTTGGAGGGCCTTGACAGAAGGCCCCTGATTTCCTGTGCCGAACATGCGTCCGTGCTCTCTGTATTTGTAAGTGGACACGCGTCTATACCAAGATCGACATGTGCAGCCCATGCTGAACTCGAGAACCTGGATTGCGATGTGGAAGATGTCCGCAATCTACTTGACAGCATGAAGCCTACCAGTGCAACCGCTGATTCCCAAGTCGTTGTCGGCCATTATATCGCCCTTCTTGATTGATTTGTTCAAGGTGTACTGCCCAGCAACTGGAAATGCTCGGTAGTGAAGCCGATTTCTAAAGCGGTGACCCAAGTAAGGTGGACAATCACCAACCGATTAGTCTGATCACCACTTTGGCCAGTACTCAAGAAGATCGTGAAAAGGAGACTACTGCAGTTGCTGGACGCGCCCGTACCGCACGGCTTCATGAAGAGCTGCTCCTGTATAAGCTACCTGAGGTTGACGCAGCATGAGTGATTGCAAGCGCTGAACCGGGGGAAGTCGGTGGATGTGATCTACATTAATGGCAGTAAAGCGTTCGACGATGAAATCCTCTTCAACAAGCCGAAGAGATGCGATATTGGTGGCTCACTGCAACACTGGATGAGTGACTTTCTATTAAAGCGAAAACAGAGGGCAAAGGTGGATGGCCATCTAACGGACTGGTACCTTTCTATCAATGGGTTCCTGGGGTT